ATATTCGTTTGAAAAATCGTTTAATCTATCATTTAATATGGATGTAAAAAGTTTTCCAATACAGCTTAAAATTGTTATAGGTCTATAATTTTGCGGATTGTTTTTCTCTCCCTTGTTTTCATATATTGGAAGGATATTTCCTTCAAGCCAACATTCGGGTAATTTACCTTTTGAAAAAACTAAATTAAACAATTTTTCGTAAAGTGGGAGCATAATTTGTATTGATGATTTTATATATTCATTTCTTATTTTATCCTCGCCTGAAGCTTTGTTGTTTTTTAATTTTTTTACAGCACTAAGTATTCATCCTGGGAAATGTATTTGTTTAGATTATGATTCAAATCTTCTATTTCTAGTATTTTAATTTCATTATCTAGCATTTTTTCTATATTCTCTGGTATTTCGGGTGCCTTATTTAACTCACTGAAATAATTAAATAATTTTTCAATATCGATTTGATCTGTATTTTTTTGTTTATTGTTTTTATTCAATATCTTCCAATATTGTCTGGGAGTTTTGAGTCGCATATTTTGTAACTTTTTGCTCATTTCTTCACTATACTTATTTATTTCTTTGTCTAACACCTTTTTATAAGCCTTTTCTTTGTTTTTATAATTTTCTTTAGCATTTTGCGAACGTTTCCTAAAATAATAAACTTTGCTATTTCGGTATTTTTTTCTCGCTTTGTGACAAGCTGTAGAAAACCATGGCTTATTATTTTTATGAATGCTTTTAGTCGTTTTATTTTGTTCACTTTAATTACTCCTAAAGCTTGTTTAGCTGCATCAATATAATTTTTATTTAGTTTATTTACAATATTGTTGACAATTTTCTCTGGGTTTTCACTGGAATTTATTGCTTGATCTATGTCTGATATCATTTCTTTGACGCAATTTTTGTTGATAGCTTGAATAAAAGTATTTTCTTTTCTTAAGAATACATTAAGCTAAATCAGGTATTCACAGGTAAATCCAAACCAAAAATCAGACTATAATTGCTGTCAAAACACACTTCACACCTATTGTTCATACCCAATTATCAAATGTGTGCAAAACGGGAACACATCCTTGAAATTTCCTTTAGAATTTCGGGTTCCGTATTTTATTTCCTGTTCGCAGATTTGTTTTAGATGTACAATTTTTTTTTATTTAACACTGTATTTTTTTTTACTTTGTTCATATAAATGTTTTGCTGCGTTTTATTAGAATAGAAAATCTTTAACTTTTTAATATTAGACTCTAAGAAACATTTGTGTGAATCGTGTTTACAAAAATACGTTGAATTTTCTTATTTTAATTTTTAATTGCACCTCTGATGTTTTAAAGGTTCATGTTTGCTTTGCTCCAATTTTGTATTGTTTAATGGTCTTTTGAGCTTGAATATAGGTCGTTATTCCCATATATTTCATTATTTTTTAAAGACTATGCTTGGTTAGAACTAATTCAAACCACCATCAATTTTTACTCAACTGGTACCAGAACATAAAAAGAAAGGAAATAATTTTTTTCATAAAGATCTCTCTCTCTCTCTCTCTCTCTCTCTCTCTCTCTCTCTCTCTCTCTCTCTCTCTCTCTCTCTCTCTCTCTAAGAAACTGAAATTGAACATGCTGGCATTTTCAAAAGGTAGATAATTGACTTTCTTGATACCAAATCTCGTGTAATAGTAGTTTGTTTAAATACCCGTGTCAAATAATAAATCCACTACAGGATAATTTTCTTTTTACTTGTAATTCTATTTCTGCACGCGACATTTGGAGTGGAGACACGGCTAGGAATGGGTCCCCGGTGAATTCGTTAGATGAATACGGGTTTACAGGAATCCATCCCGTTCACATGAAGAAAGATTTTTCGGCACAAATCAAGCCTTCGTCGTGTCTTTATATTCCCCATCATGCTATCTTCTGATGGAAAATCTCGCGAGAGTTGAACGTGATTAGAGGCGGATTTGAAATCCATTTGTAGTAGTGTTTTCTATAGAGCTTTCAAAACCAACATTGCCAATGTATAATTACCCTACCCCAATCAATCTTTGCTTATACGATTTGTACTTGCTGTAATTACACACATTTCTGTTTTTGACCACAGAACAAATTAGTTCATTTGACGGAAGAAGCAAATAAATGCTCGGTAATGCATTTTAAGCCGTATTGTGTGCTGTTTATGATAATTAGCTATCAGGGTATGAGAACAATCCCTTATCATCCCCATAAGCTTTCACATTTATATATAGTATTCAAAAAGGTAGGTGAATATATACAATGCACAATGGATGAATTTTTCTTGTCTTTTGTACCTTTTTGAAAACAAAATGTATTTTCTGAATCAAATCTTTCATCGGTAAAAATTATATTTGTATATGTTAAACTTTGTAAGGTCTTTCCTATTTTGGGAAATGTAACCAATTGATGATATTTCTTAAAAAATCTCTTCATCAAAATAGGAATAGGAAGAAGCTGTTGTTGACATTGTTACAATAAGTCTATGCTTTTACTTCTGTAGCACACATTTAGTACTTTAAAAGAAATAGAGGAAAAAGTACAAGTAAATGAAAATATTTTAATTTATTTATTTAAACAACACTTTATTTAAAAATAAACATAAAAATGTTGGACAGCAGGCACTGCATATACTAGTATATAAATCTTCTAAATAAAAATTGTTATCTCCATTTTTTGTCTAGAAACAAACAAAAATGAAATGCATCCCAGATGAAATATGTTTTATTGATCAATCAAACACCTGGAAAAGCATTTATACACAAATGTAAAATTTTTTAAAATCATAAATTGAGAAAAAAAATATTTTTATTATAAACAATAATACACAACTATATGTTTAATTTACATTGTGTTCGGTGTCAATGATATTTACATAAGCATATGCATGTACAAATACATTTTGATACATATAAATTGTTTTCATTTATTTTTCAAAAAGAAAAATTTCAAAGCATATCAGTACACTTGATAAAAACCGTTTTTATTTATTGATTTACTGTTTTCAAATTATTATAATAATAATAATTTTTATTATTATTATTATCATCATCATCATCTAATCATCATCATCATCATCATCATCATCATCATTATTATTATTATTATTATTATTATTATTATTATTATTATTATTATTATTATTATATCGGATAGAGGGTTTCATTATTTAGGATTCCGTGATGACGTCAAAAGGAAAAAAAAGAAATTTGAACGAAAATCTCTTTTTTCTTCATTGTTTGTGTATGGCAATCCTCGAATACAATATTATCATATTTTAGTGATAAATTATACAGTAGTACTAATTCCATTAAAGAAATTGTCAATACATGTAATTAAAATGTTAAAAAAAACTTTTTATACATGTATAACTATTTAGATAGATGCTTAATGCGAAGAAAACTACTTCATGAAATGTAAAGAATCGTGTAAATTTGTTTTGCATGCTGTAGCCATCCTTTTTCTTTTTCCGTTGTCTGTCAAAAAATGTGTTATTTTAGTTGTGACCAAAATGAAATGATGTAAATAAATTGAACTGCTTTTTAATAGTGTTTATTGTTGTTTATTCTGAATGCATCGAATGATTGTATATACGAAATTTACAGTATAACAATTGTAAGTTTTACATTCCTTGTTACCCGGCAAATTCAAAAAATTACAATTTTTATCTTTTTTTATCTCTCTTGGTTATTTTTTTGGACAAAAAGGGGAAAACATCATTTCCAATCTATGGATTATCAACTAAATTGTAGGCCTTTGTAAAATATCAATATTTAAAAAAAAAACAGCAGATATTGCCAAGAAACAATCAAAAGAACAAATGCATTCATAAAACCTAGATTATATTTTGAAAAGTCCGTGAAAAAAATGATGATATCATTTTCTTCAATGTGCTTTATTGTTTGGATAATTCAATTATATTTCAATATATTAATTTTACGATGGATAAGAAATAATATCAAAACTAAAGAAGGAATAAATACCACACATTTTTCTTCCAATTACCACCAAAGCTAACTAGTCTGTTTGTTTAAATTAAGCCTTGATACATGTTGTGTTAAAACCCTTCTTCTTTTCTTAAGGTCAGAAGACACGGTCCTCAAAAATACATGTATATAATATTTTCTAAGAATTTGTCATTGAAGTATGGGTACTTAAACAAGTTTCCTCACAAAAATTTAGGGTACCTTACCATGCATTTGGCCAAGATATTGGGTCATATTTCTTATATAACCCTTATGGGTAATCTTCTAAATGGCCTTTACCTCAAATTTTTGTGTACTTATTTTTAAAAACATTTTGAAAACAATTTAGAAATCAGAAGAGAATGGCTAATATGAATAATTTTTTATAAAATACCAAAAGATACAAAACATATATTTGGGGAACATGTCGTCTGACCTTAAGTGTATTACAGATAAATATATTTGTAAAAAATTAACTTACAAAATTCATGTGATTCATAAAAACAATGTTTTTTGCAGTTATTTTCCTTTTTTACCCTGCAAGATACCATTGTTTATCAAACATCAAACATTAAACATTTCTTTTTGCAGATAAAAGCTTTGATAAAACTTAATTTCCTTGCGTGAATGGCTGCTTAAAGTGCAATTTACTGTTGAATTCCAAGTGCTACGCAGTACCCGGTATTTTCTGATTTTTCAGTAATTGTCGATGGAAATTTTTACGTTATATGACTATTGAAATACTTTTTCAATGCCATATAGATTCGTCCCAGCACATTATCTTTTCCTTTGCTTTTCTGCTCTTCATCAATCAAATTAATTAATCGTTTTCTCTAGAGAACATATTCATTTCTACTCCATGAAATTTTAATAATGAACAAACACTTCCGTCTTTGTTTTTATTTTGCTTAATGTGAATGATGGACACTTAATAACTATCAAAAATACCTTCCAAACAACATTATAAAATATTCTAAATAATGCATGACTTAATTTGTCAACCAGAAGAATATTAATATAAGATCCTTTTTTATTCCAGACGTTCACTTAAACTCTACAAACAGTGAACCAAACACCAAGTAGAACAACTAAAGCGGAATGGAAGCCATGTTTTGGGATATGGAGAAATATAATGTAATCAGAGATAGAGTATTCGCAGTGATAAATCATCTCTAAATAATGTATAAGGCATCATATCCCCCGGACAATTCCAGCAGAACAACTCATATTGAAATAGAGCCTGATAACTTTATTAATTTTCCTACCAGGACATCAAAGAAGCGGCTTGATTTCTACTTAAATATTAATTTCAAGATTGCTTTTAATCACAGTGAGCTGCATTATTTCTTTCTTTCTAGTGTCTGCTATTCTTCTTTGCAATAACGCAAGTGTTTGTATGAAATTCTTGTTTATTGTTTTACCTTGTAATCAACATGCATTTCAAAGATTGATAACATGAATTAATTTTATTCATTTGAAATGCTAATCTAGCAACACATATTTTCAAAATACGAGGTTTTAATACATAGAATGATCAAAGAGAATTTAACATTTGCAAAAATAAATCGTGTTGTATATTGGGCAAACATTTATTTAGAAATTAAAACAGAATTTCAAATGTAACATGAAGAGACTGTATACAGTTCTTTTACAAGGCATCAGGGATTGGTACTCACAAAATATTCCTAAATCGGAGATATCAAACGCGATAATGCCTATCGCTAATTTCAAACTTCTCCCCCTGGTGTACGAGATGGGTTGTAACTGTAAAATATTTATGTATGCCTATTTGTTCGATATTAAAGTTGACAACATTTGATTTACCTTGATAAAAAATTCCACCAATCACAGAAATCATGAATAATGAAACTGGGTTTCCGTAAGTGGTGCGGATGTAACATAGTATCGTATCAAGAAGAATAAAGGGGTAGCTTCTCTCACACAGAAATAAAAAAAATAAGGAAGAATTGCATTTGTTACATGTGGTAGAATAAACTACGATTGAAATTATTTTTAAGTGGGAAACAAAGGATTACTTTTATCAAATAATTTTGGGCATTAAATAAAAAAATATTATACCTGATAAGCACGACTAGAGGCTTGTGATGTATTATTTATTTTTAGAGATACCTCTAGTATCTATGATATCATTGATAAGTCTTTCGTAATGCAAGTATTGGTAAGAACAATGATACACTCTATTTTATTGCTTTAGTCATATATCTTATATGAAAGATTTATTTATGATGTACGGAAATAAACAAGAACACAATAAGGATATGAAAAATAACACTGTACCTAACTCTGGTCAAACACAAACAAATTCCGAGAACATCTTGTTGTCTTATTCTTACGATGTACTAAGTTAACGTGCTTCACAGAATATCGTTATAATTTTTCTGTCTGTTGACATATTTGTTTTGTCCCTCTGATGGCTTATACTTGATCTTCTCTTTCTGCATTCTATATTCAACTTTCATCTTTTAATTCGGCTTTATAAACTCTATCAAATTTATTTCCTATTTTCTTGCTCTAATTTTTATTTACTTTTAACCGCTTTTTTCTACTCACTTACTCATAAATATACACTATAAGACATTTAAGTCTAGTATAAAAAGAGATAAAATACGTTTTCCATCTCATATATGACACTTTCTAAACTAAATTAGTTTTGATTAGGTTAAACTTTCTCCATAAGTTCACAAATAAATAAATGTTTTTGATTGAAAGTTATGGTTTATAGAAATATATATTCCAATATATGGGTGTTGGATGCACATTGCAGAGAGACACAGAGAGAGAGAGAGAGAGAGAATCACTTGACAAAGACACCCACTCCAATGGAGGTAACATGAGGTCATCACTAATGCAACGAATCCACATATCAGCCAAAACCATCTGATTGAACCCCGAACCCGAGGATTAAGCCTAATGACTCTTTCTTCCACCAAACGTGGAAAAACAAAGACAAAATGGCGGAAAACTGCAGATTACACTTTACGAAAAAGCTTTCATCAATTATTTTCGTAAGCATTTCCAAATTACATGGCTTTTGAGCATTGCTTCATTAAGTGATATGGGATTAAAATTCTACAAAGTTCATCGAGGCTGCTTAAACAGGTTTTCTTATCGAACAATCTTGTTCCATGTCACAGAGGATAATCATGTAAAGTCAAGTCCATCATTAAGTGGAATTATTTTGTTTTGTATTTTATTTTTCTCTAAATCCTTTATCGGTTTATTTTTTCGATCAAATGATTTATTTTAAATCAGAGCGCTACAATTCATCTTCAGTAAAATGAGGCAAACCATGTTTAAAAAAAAGAAGAAAAAAGAAACATTGTAAGTGCTTACTTTAAATCAACATACTAAAGAGTTGTTTTTTGCACTTATATACTTAAAACCCTAAACATTTTCCACTTCTAAACCACTTGAAAGTTTCTTTTTAGCCATCATCACAAGTAATGATTGTTTAACGGATAGATGTGCTTTGAAACTTAAATAAGTAAATGAATAAAAAATGCAATAGCAGTGGATAATGCAATAGCAAATTTCGACAGAGGTTTTCATTTTGAAAATCGTTAGAGCCTAAATAATTTTACCTCTAACTTTTTTATTCTAAATCAAGATTTCAGCTTTAAAGCAAGATCATTTATCTTAATATATACTAAAATTAATGGAGTGAAAACCTATCTTTAAAGTATTTTTATGAGATTTGGGATTTGTTCCTTGGTTTATCAATGAGATTAGATATGAATATACCAAACTGCAATCAAAGCTCAGAAATCCATTGAAATCATTTACAAATTCGGAGCAGAGCAATCACGGACCTTCAAAATATCAGTCGGATCAGATGCCAAGTAGGAGAAAGCATCTCCTGTCGACTGATTACACACTATCGTGTGCTCTTTAATGCTGACTTTAAACAATGCTCTTGATATCCTTCTTTCATAAACTTGTTTGTCATTAGTTTGCCTCGTTTCTCAGACTGTTCTGGTAGAACATATTCTTTTATTATATGAAGTAACTGGGAGACATTAATTCCATATGCAGCTGGTTAGAGTATATTACTACATAAATAAGGAAGCTTGACGATAAAAAGGTTGATATAATTAGGTTCATTAGGTTTATAATAAATAACGTTGTTGGGTTAACATTGATGTCCAAATATGAAACAGAAGTGTCAGACTCTATGGTATCCTATATTTCAACTACAGTGTGATACATCGAGTAGGCATGTAAATAGAAATAAACTATTTTTATTTCACAAAACGTCGTCGACGTATCTGAATGTCAAGTTGAAGGCCATGGCAGGTGTTTTCTTAAAACTCGTGTAGTTTTTGAATAGAATGTGTTTCATATAAATACATTGTATATAGAACAGGTCACCTTATAAAGGCCCGCTATTTATGCCGTCAAAATTCCAATAGTTTGTTGGAAGACTTGGCATCCAAAGACTGCATAAATGTTTGAATGAAGACCCTCCTTCTATACAATAAACTTTCGAATAAACTTTAGAATAGCAGCGATTTTTAATGTAATTTTTGAGTAAATTAAGAGTAATTTTTGTAATGATCAATCACAAGATAAGAAAATTTTCGATTTCAATTTTTAGATTTTATTTAGGAGATGTTCACCCCTCCATGGCACCGGATCCCACCTCTGATTGTTTTGGAGGTCCGTATTTGCTCTGCTCCTACTTTGCATTGCTTTATGGACTTTTGGTCTCGAATACTGTTCATTATCTTCATATGTTTCATTCAAATCTTTTTTAGAATTCACATTTGTAACTGAGTTTACACATCATTACACAATGGAAAAATTTTATATCTTAAATATTATTTTCTTTCCAATCTTAGGGTTGCAAGTTCCTATGCAGATGAATATTTGATATAAACAAAAGTTTTCAATATGGTAATTGTTTTCAGCATCTGTCTCCTAAAGTCATCATTTTGCATTTTGATTATTTCACAAAATGAGTCTCCCTTTCTAACTTAACGTAATATAGAAATTCGGCAGAAACATGGCATATCAAGAGCACCTCCCCCCTTAAAGTTTGTCATATTCTTTACAGGGAAACACAGAAAACTCCCTTAAAAGGTTAAACATTTTGCCTCAAGTCATTCATCTTGCGTAACTTCAAACTGATAAGGAAGTTGAGGCCTTATTCCGTTATGTTCCTCAGAAGAAGTGATATAATCGGCTAATTAGTCGGATCCGCTACACCGACAAGTACCAAACTGTATCGATATTGAACTGAATGGCATCTTATTAGATTCGGTCTGTCAATATTGGAGGGGCCCGACAACTTCCAGAAGCAGAGTTAGCTTTGTGTGTTTGACAATCGTCCCACAGGGGAAGGGACAATTCGGGCTCTCCAAAATGGGTTATTGATATAATATGAAAATTGAATAAAAGTCCTGGCAGTCTGTCGGAATTTGAAGTTCGAGTTACACATTAATGCAGAGTAATGATAACAAATTGACATTGTGATAAAAGGAAAATTATGATTAAAATGGAAGATACAGTGCTCTAGGCTGGGGACGGGAGCTGTTCTTGTTGTTTATGGTAGTTTATGAGGACACTAAAAGACTCTGATACTTTTATTATGAGAAATCCCCCTCTATTGAACATTATTTACTGCAATTCACTTCGCTACTTTTATACAATAATAAAATGTATAACTGTAGTATAATATAAATGGAGTTATGACAAAAACATTTTGTTAACATCGTATTTTATTTGGCATATTGGCTTAATACAGTATTTACATCGTTACTCTTGGTAATACAATCATGATCTAAGACAATAAACTGAGAACAGATGAAAGTCATCATTTTAAATTGGTAAAAATTTTAAACATAAAAAAATACAAATATTTATATTTTGTTACTGTTCATCAAGTTTACTCACTTTAAAACATATTTAGATTAATGAAGATCACCATAATCTAAAGATTTGTTTCAGTTATTGGTCTTTGATCATTATCTTATAGCGATCTATAAAGTTCATTCACTAAAAAACTTGATCAATCTCAGAAAAATATATCTGATCTGCAGCACTATACAAAAGCGGTTTAATTCCTTCTAAAATATATATTACTCCAAATAGTGTTCAAGATCCAATATTTCTTTGTAAATGGACAAGTTTATGTTTAAATGAACCGTTTAGGTTATGATATTGTTATTTTCTACAAAGTGTATTAGACAAAATTTAATCACCATGTCATTCCTAGATCATTCATTTTAAACTTTCAAATAAATAGTATATAGTTACTGTATCTGAACAATGAAAAAAAATTAATTGGTTTTAATTTAGTTATTGTCAATTTAATACTCATAAAAATTAAATAAGGAATTTATTTGCTTTGTTGCAAAATCCTTTATTAAATATCTCTGTTGCGTAGCATAAAAAGATTACTTAGGTCGGAGATATTAATTGTATGAATGAAAACAAGAAAAATTAGCTCATTCTTCATTTTGCTTAATATTTCTGAAAATGCTACGATATAGTTTTTGTGTCTTATGAAAAATTCATCATTAAAAAAAATCGAGGTAAAACTTTGACACTGTTTAAAACGATGTGTAATAAATTGCATTTCTGAGGATGTTTGGTGCATTTTACAAATAAAAAAATTTTCAAATAGTATATTCCTTCGAAATTATAGTAACATGTAAATCATACATAGTACTGACCTCATTTACACTAGATTAATAATAAAAAAACAACAGAAAATGACTTTACAAAATTGGTAGTAAAAATCATGCTTGCATTTTCAAATTGAAAAAAACTAACATTGATAATCTGTGGCAATCTTTG